CCCCCCCCCCCCCCCCCCCCGCCCATGGCTTGCCTGTGACGTGGCTGGTCTTCTTGATTGGCCTCGTCGCCCCCCGTGGAGTGGGGTCTAGGTGGTCTTCTTGTTTGGCCTTGACCCCTCCCCCCCGTGTGGGCATGAGGTGGTGCCTGTGGTCTTGCTTGGGTTCTTGATATCTCGTCTTCTTGACCTCCCATGTCCTCCCATGTTGTGGGTTGCTGCTGAGCAGTTATTAGCAGACTATTGTAGAGGGGCAGTGTGTTTTGCAGAGGTATGGTTGCAGCCATTTCTTAGTAGCACTGTAATCCTGTTGGTGGTCGTTGCGATGGTGGAGGATTTGATATTGCATGTCTGCTTATACGAAGTAGCATGTCTATCTTTCTATCTATCTACGTACCTACCTACCTACCTACCTACCTACCTACCTATCTATCTATCTATCTATCTTTCTATTTATTTACACACATATATATATATATATGTAGACATATGTAGACATGTTTATATGTATCTATGCATTCATGTATATTGTATAGGTATGTACATATGTGTATGTATCTATGTATGTGTATATGTAGATGTTTATATATATATATATAGATATATATACACGTATATATGTACCTATATATCTATGTATATATGTATATATGTATATATGTATATATGTATATATGTATATATGTGTAGATGTAGATATGTGTAGATGTAGATATGTACATATGTACATATGTCTATATGTACCTATGTATATATGTATATATGTGTATATGTATCTATGTATATATGAATATATGTGTATATGTATATATGTAGATGTGTATGTATGTAGATATGTATATATGTACATATGTCTATATGTTTCTACGTAGATATGTAGATATGCAGATGTGTAGATATGTAAATATGTAGATATGTATATATGTGTATATGTACATATGTATGTGTATATAAAAAGATACATACACATATATACAAAAAAAGCACACATACATGCATACATACATACATGCATGCATACATACATACATACACATATGTAGATAGATAATTATATAGATAGATATATAGATGGATCGTTAGACAGATAGATAGTGTTATGGATGTTTCATGGACGCGTTTGCTTCTTGAAGAACTGCTGGTGGGGTTTCGGGTTGCTTTGGAGTTCAGGTTTAGGGGCTTTCAGGTTTTTTCGGTCTTGACTGGGTCGTTTACCAGGATAGTTTATGCAAATTTAGGAGGGTTCCAAGTTGTTTGTCCGTAAAACCATATTCCACTTGTGGAGGCCCCTTTATCGAAAACCCCTGCGTACTTGACCTTAGTACTGGGGCCCTTGTCACAATCCGTTTTAAGATGGGAGGTTTAGTAGCGAGGAGTCTAAATTGCCGCAAGAATATTGCAGGTCTTTTCCTCTTGACGGCCGGGGCTTGTGGGCATCCCAAAACCCTATTGAAACAAGAAGCACTAGAATCTAGAAGCTGCAGCCCGGTTTAGGGTTCAGGGTTTAGGGCGCGCAAGGATGGATGGGGGACCACTGGCCTGCACGCGGACCTGGCCGAACGATCCGTGCCGGAGCAGTACCGGATCACCTTGGAAACTGGGCCTACGAGCTTCTTTCCCTAAGTGCAAAGGTGGGCCCATGTACCGAGTAGAGATGTGCCCGGCTGTGTTTCCCATTTTCGCTCCCTTCGGAGGGTTGTAAACAACGAGCAAAACCCAACCCTCCCTAAACCCCTAATCCACGGAAGTGGACTCTCCCTAAACCCTAAGCCCGAAACCCCAAACCCTAAGCCCTAAAGTGAGGAGTGGGCCATCTCCCGCATTCCGCCCTCGAAAACCACGGACAATGAGCCTTGGTTTCATTTGGGGGTTTCCGAAAATAGGGGACCCTAAAATGGTACCCTAAACAGTCGGATCGTGCCCGATCCGGTTGAGGGTTTAGGGTTTAGGGTTTATAAGGACCCCCCAAACAAGGTACCCTGGTACCCTTAATTTTCGGAAGCTCCTGTTTGAAGCACGAGAACCTCTCAGTCTCAAGGGTCGGCTTGAGGGTATGAGAGGCCACAACACCGAGAGTTTTTTTTTTTTTTCGGGGTTTAGGGTCTAGGCCTTGAAAGACATAGCATACTAGACTGTATTCTTTTATGCTATGTCACAATACTCCATAGCATTTTCTGTCATCTTGTTTAGCAGAGTTTAAATGGGGGTTTTCGAAAATAGGGGACCCTAATATAGTACCCTAAATAGTAGGATCCCTATTAAAGGACCCCAGAATAAGGTACCCCTTCGTTTCGGAAACTCCCAAATATAACAGCTCATGTCTTGTTCAGATTTCTATTGCGGCCTTCGGCCCGAGAGGCTTCTTGTTGAGGGCTTTCTCAGAGATGTTTGAGGGTACTCTGAGAGGTTTCTGAGGGTTTAGGGTTTGGG